TTTATATAATATTTATATATAATTTAAACAAACTAATTTTTATTTAAAAACTATTTAATAATATAGGAAGTAAGTTATTTATTTAATTTTATTATTACTAATTTAATATAATATTTACATATAATTTAAACTAATTAAATTCTTTATTTAATTAATAATATAGGAGGTAAGTTATTTATTTAATCCTATTATTACTTATTTATATAATATTTGCATATAATTTAAATTATCTAAATTCTTTATTTAAAAATATTTATGATATAGCTTGTAAGTTTTTTGTTTTTATATTTTACATAATATTTATTTGCTAACTGGATTCTTTATTCACTTTTACAGTTGGTAAGTTGTAAATTATAGGTTATTATATATATTTGTCCAAAAATTAAAACTTTATATTATATTAAATTCCTATTTAAATTTTAGAGTAAGTGTTAATTATGAATTTAATTTTTGGTGTAAATTTTAATATAAACTATAATATAATTTTAATTATTTAAATTTATAGATTTGGGAAAAGTGGGAATGCAATTATAGATGATTTTATTCTTAAAAAAAAATTAAAATGGATTCCTTATAATAAATTTCAAAATATTGAATATCTTAATGAAGGAGGATTTGGTACTATATATAAAGCTATTTGGTCAAATAATGATGGAAATAAAGATGTAATTCTTAAATGTCACAAGAATTTAAATGAGAATTTAAATGAATTTTTAAATGAGGTATGATAGTATATTATTATTTTTTTAATTTAAATTGTAATTTATTTATATTAATATATTAATATTATTTTTTTATAGTGGATATATCATGAAAAATGTTTAAGTTCAAGTGATATTATTAATTTTCATGGATTTACAGAAGATTCAAGCATTCCAAAATATATGGTAGTAATGGATTATGCAAACAAAGGTGATTTAAGAGGAAATTTGATGGAAATAATGAAAAATCATTGGAAGCAAAAATTATGCATGTTGTATGAAATTATTTCTGGACTTAATGAAATACATAAAAATAATCTTACTCATTGTGATTTTCATGATGGCAATATTTTAAATCATAATGTTAAGAATAAGGATAAAATTTATATTAGTGATTTAGGATTATGTAGACCTGTAAAATCAATTTTGAAAAGGTATGATATTTATGGTGTTATGTCATTTATGGCACCTGAAGTTTTAAGAGGTAAACCTTATACTCCGGCTAGTGATATATATAGTTTTTCTATGATTATGTGGGAATTTACATCTGGAGTGCCACCATTTAATAATAGAGCACATGATATTTACCTTAGTTTAGATATTTGTAAAGGTGAACGTCCTGAAATTATTGAAAATACTCCACAATGCTATGTAGATTTAATGAAAAAATGTTGGGATGAAGATCCATTAAAAAGGCCATCTGCTAAGGAAGTATTAGATATTATTGAAAAATGGATTTATCTTCCTACAAGAAAGAAAATTGAAGATATTAATGAAGAATTAAAACACAGTATTATGGAATTTATAGATGCACTACCAATTGGGCAGCATAACAATTTTGCTATTGAATCTCATCCACAAACATGTTATACAAGTCGCTTATTTGATTTTACTAGTAAAAAATTGAATGAAATTCTTGAAAGTGAAGATTTACGAATAATACTAAGTGATGATGAAATTCTTGAAAATGTAGTAAGTGATGATTTGAATAATTATAGAATTGGTATGTATAAATAAATATGAAAAAGGTAAATTTGCAAATTGTTTATGTGAAATTAATTTTTATTTATTGTCCGGAGCGAAGCGAAGGACTATATATGTTTACGCACTATGATGATCTATGGAAATAACGTGTAAATTTTCAATCACGTGAGTTTCTCTGTCCAGGAATTCCAAGGCGTTATGCTGCTAATCAGCAGAAAATTACCGGAATTCCAAGGCGTTATGCTGCTAATTAGTAGAATATCGCTACATCTTTATTTATTATACCTCGCTCCGGACTTACAACGGTTCCCGTTTCCTAGTATAAATTATTTAGGTGTTTAATACAAATGAAATTAAAAGATTTGTAGTTTTTTAAGTGATATTTGATATGATGTACTCAACAGAAATTTTTTTTTTTTATTCTTATTAGATTTATTTAAACACTAAGACTAGAGTAGTAAAATATTTACAAGTTTCTTAGTTTGTAATTTGAATAATTCCTTTTTTTTCATAGCTTATCCAAGTATTAAATATTTATATTCTTTTTTACTATTTTACTTAGAATTATTTAAACACTAAGACTAGAGTAATAAAAATTTTACAAGTTTCTTAGTTTTTAATTTGAATAAATCATTTTTATAACCTTTCCAATTATTAAATGTAACATCATAAAATAACCATTTGTCTGTAATGTCAATTTAAATAAATATTTGACAGTATTTTAATCACCAAATTTATTAATGAACAGTCAAAAATGGGCTCTAAAAAGTTTTTTGTACCCCAAATCTTGCGTCTAACCAATTTTCCCATTATCTAACCAATTTTCCAGTGTTAAAGGCGCGTCATTATTTGACATTTTTTAGGAAAAAAGCCTAATGTTCCTAAGTTAATTTTAATTCCTGAAGCGCACAGGGTTTTTGCTAAATTTCATAAATCCGGCGTAATGAGTTATTAAAATAAGTATAAAGTATAAACCCATTCCAATGTATAAAATTAAAAATAAATAATGTAAAATTTTTTATAGATGATTTATTTAAATATTTTTGGAACTATACCAGCTGGATTGTATTATGCATCAGTTATTTATCTTGATACAATACACAAAAAAAGGTTATGTAGAGGTTTTATTATTTCGATAAAAAAAGTAGAATGTTGCAGTTACCAATTTAAGCCTATTGCAAGTCATGATCAGGTTAGATTTTCTACTAAATGATTTTTTGACATTCTTGTAAATGATTTTGCTCATCACCTTTACACGTATGATTTGTACAAATTCTTTTTTTTAAAAAAATAAATACTTTTTTTTTAATTGAAATGATAGAATTTTTCTTCAAAATGCGACTTCTGATGATCACCACGCAATGCATTTTCTTATATTGATACCAAACGTTAATTCTTAATTTACTTAGAAATTTCATATATTTCCGTTTTAATCAGCGGCAAAGAAAATGATACTAGGTTATTATTTTCTTATCATAATTATAACAAATAATATTAATAAACCATATTAATATAATTTAGGATATTACATTATTACCTACAATAATAAAATCAATAATTTTCGGTTATAATTCCATATGTAAGTTTTTGAAAAAGAGAAACAAATAATATTAACATGCATAATATAATTTATTTAAATGAACCTATGAAAGTATGTTGAATTCTAACCCTCTTAGAACGACCTTTTATAACAGAAATTAATGAAAACCGCCGATAAATTATGTAATATTTTTATAATTAATATAGCGGAAGACACAACAAATCATCAATATGTTTCAAATTAAAAAATTTAAAAAATCACGTGATCGAATTAATATTGACTTTTTATTGGACAGTAGTAAATCATGTGATTAATACTTCTGGCTGAAATTATTAATTTTAGCTTAGAATTAAGATTTTATTTAAGACTTTTTGATATTGACTGATTAAGCTTATATTCCGGCCAAAATTTATAATGACTAACCAAAATTATATGTTTCAAGTCTGAAAATTATATATAAAATACCTGAATTTTACAGGTTAATAACTTTTGATTTAGATAACCAAAAAGGATAATCTCAACGTCATTTTGTAGCTTTAATCAGTATCTATTAAATTACGTTGAAATATTTTAAATATATGCACAAAAAATTATATAATACATTTAATATTAACAGCTTTTCTATTTAATACGATCAGCAGTTAACAAAACTTTTAGTGGTGTAATAAGTATATGTCATTATTATCTAATTAATTACGAAGAACCGCCCGTCAAGAACGTCACTATTTTATTATCTAGTACAAAAAAATTGACTAGCAAAATAATTCTAATGTGAAATATGAACTAATTTAGCTCGTTAAATTTTTATGAATAAAATTTATTTAGAAATTGTAAATAAAAATCTAGAATTAGAACTTTTTTTTAATATAAACTTTTGTTTGTTTTATGTTAATTGGAATGTGTTTATTTACGATATGTCTTTTTGCTTTTAATTTGTGGTAACTGCTAAATTATAAATACTCTCCTTTTTTTTGAGTTCTCATTTTTCAAAAAAAAAAAAATCATCAAAAAAAATCATATATTTTTCTTCCTTTTTTTTAAAAAAAAACTAGCTTTTGCTAACTATATCAGTTTGAGCATAAACGGGTTAAAACCGGTTTGGAATAAACCACATTCTGTAACATCCCTATATATTTTGATAATTCTAATTCTTTTAATAGTTCTATATTTTCGTTTATACAATTTAAAATTGACAAATCTCGATATATATAATTAGAGTGAAATAAAAATACATAATAATTATTGACAATTAGATGAAAGAAAATAAGTAATGATTTATTTATATCTTAATCAGATGATTGATTAATGATTTGATGGAATATGTGATAATAATGAAAAAAAATGTTTTCTCTTTTAAAGAATTCAAACATCATTTAATAATTGAACTAAAAAATATTTTTTTTTTGATTTTTATGATATAATATGGCTTTTATTTTCTAATAAAAAAACAACATGATAAAAAAAAATGCAACTAAAAAGTTGAGAAAAGAAGATTAAAGTTTGATATTAACATATTCACGCGTTTATAATGAACTTATCCGAGAATATTTTGGGCTGAATCACAATGTTTAACGAAGAGATACAATATTAAACGTTAATGGTTGATTCACAAATTTGTCATTTGTAGTTTATTTAATTTGATTTAACATACAGTATGTAAATATAGTCAAGTTGTAGTATATTAGTTTCATGGGATAACTTATTTATATGGGAAATTAAACTAATTCGTAAATAGAAAATATTATAAAAAGGAGTACAGAATAATTAAGAAATTTTAATTGTTTTCAAATAAAACAAATCTGTGCTCTTAATAAACAAAATGTATTAATAATCATTTAAACTATTGAACTTACAAGCGCAGACTAATTTGCTTTCAAAATTCATGTTACATCTAATTTTTAAATTTACTGTACTAAGTAAATAAAATATTTATATAATGGACCCTTAAATTTCAAAAGGTAGAAAATACAGAATTAATTTTTTTGTTCTTTCATCTTGACAATCTCTTAAAATAGTTGTAAATATTTATATCTAAAATGTAGATTTTTAATAGTCTTTACGTTAACTACTCATATTATAAAAAAAGTTTAATCTAACTTTATTTAATAGTAAATCAATAGCTATTATTAAGAAGCCGTGTGAGAACGTTGCTTATTACTGCACCACAACTTCAGCCTTCAATTTATTTAATCCTTTAGTATTCTTTGTTGTATCCCTCCCTAGAATTCTATAATTTGAACATGCGGCTACATCATAACCGCAAGAAATTATTTAATTTATGTTTTATTATTTTTGGAATAAAATTTAATGATATTATTCATTTATCTAAGACAAATTATGATATTTTAAATTTTTATTTTACTAGAATTAAGAGTAATATTTTGAGCACAAAATTTATTGAGTTACTACTAGATTTAAGAATCATTTACGTCATTAGCCAAAGACTCAAAAAAACTTTAATTATTATATTTTTTTTGGAAACACTAAAAGAAAAAACAAATCAATTATCAATAAAAGTTCATGTTATATAAAAAAGATGTTAAAACTAGGGAAACGAGAACCGTTGTGTTCCCGGAATTTCGTCTGCACGGTTTTAGTGGGGTCTGCATCAAATTATAATTGTCACATTTAAAAAAAAAATTTTATTACATTTATGTGATAGAGAAACAACAATAGAAGACTGGAAAACACTTACTACACTTGCTGATTCACCTAAACAGACCATTCTCCGATGCCACATTTATTCTACCTCGAAAGATCGATGTTTATGAGGCCAACCATAATAAACTTAGATCTCTAAACTGTCCCATCGCCAAAATCCATGCTGTACATACAGGTCGTGATGCACCTAAGGCAGATTCTAATACAGAAAAAGATCTTGAAGCTCATCTGCTACTCGCCAGAGGCGCACGCTTTATACTCAGAGCTAACTTGTGGACAGATGCAGGGTTAGTAAATGGTTCAATGAGATTCGTCCAAGAAATTTTGTTTAAAGAAGCCAAGGACCACAATCTCTTCCAAATGCTGTCCTCATCGAATTTGACAATTATACGGGCCCAGCTATTACAACTTTGGAAGGCAAAAAGCTTGTACCTATGCGACAAACGTGGCCAGCAAAATCAACAACTTGTTCACGCCCGCAACTTCTTATTTGTCTTGCGTGGGCGAGTAACAGTTCATAAAAGCCAAGGGTTGAACTGCCAAAGGCCATAATAGATTTCGGTGTAAGAGAATACGTCGCTGGTCTATCATTTGTGGCAGTGTCTCGAGTCCGTACTCTTAATGATCTTCTTTTCCGGCCATTTTCTTTTGAAAGACTAACGCATCAAAAATTCTAAGAGATTACAAGATAAAAGAAACGTTTAACTTCTTTAATGGTAAATATATGTCAATCATTGTAATGTAAATGTATAATAATTGGGAATGATATCTTTTAAATTTATTAATTTATTAAAGCAGCTTATACAGTACAAATAAATGACATCGTAACCGCATAATAAATATAAATACAATAAATAAAATTTGAAAATGGTTTAAGAGTGAGACATTTCAAAACATAATCATAAAAGATATATAGATCAGCCAATCAAAATCATCTCACGTGGCGAACAGACGTCCATTGATCAGCCAATCAAAATCGTCTCACGTGGCGGACAGACATTCAGACATGGCGTTTCTTTTTACTTGAATGTAAAGTCCTTCGCTACGCTCCGGACAATAAGAGTTTTAATTTTCTGGTTTTATTACAATTTTTTTACCAACAGTTGAAATTTTTTAACTACTTTAAAAATTAATAATTGAATTATACTTCCATTTACATTTATTTAATGATTAAATAACTTCTTAGTTGAATCACAGTAATTCAATCATAAAAGAATATCACTACCAATAACAGAATGCATTAAAAGATAATAATTGCTAGATTAAACATCTTATAAAATATAATTATAACTTGTGATTGCTTTTTTGTGTAACAATATTTTTATTTTGTGATTTTGTGATCATCAGCTGATTTAAAATTTGTAGTGCAGGTGTAAATTTTGTTTTTTTTAAAAAAACCAATCTTCTTCTACATAAATTGACCAGTAATCTAATATGGAAGAATTTAAGCTCGGTGATTGTATATTTGAACAAATAAAAGATTTTAACCATCAGAGATTAACAGATGAACAAAAATTGTTAATTGATAAGCTAATATTAAATAAAGAATTAAAAGAATGTTATAAAGAGAATGGTTTGTGCAAAGAATGTAAGCAACCTAAAGCTTCTTGTTTTTGGTGTCAATGTAAATTTCAACAAAATTTCAAAAATTGGACTAGTGGAAATAATGAAGTTGATAAGTTTATTCAAAAAACACAACTTAAAGCTAAAGAACGTCGGGAATTTTTAGAGTGGATTGAATATGATAAATTTGAAAATGTTGAATATTTGGCTAAAGGAGGATTTGGAACTATTCATAAAGCAATATGGAAAGATGGATGTATAGTTGAATGGGATTCTGAAAATAATGAATGGAAGAGAAAAAAAGATTGGATGAGTCATGAAAATTTTCCAGTTGTTTTAAAATGTTTACATAATTCTCAGGATATTACATCTGAATTTTTAAAAGAAGTAGGTTACTTATTTGTTTATAACTTTCAAACTACTGTTCCAATATAAATGTTAAACTTACTATAATTTATTATTATTATGGATTCTTTTTTAGATTGAATCACATACTATGATTATTTCAAATTTTGTAACTCAATGTTTTGGCATTACTAAAGATCCAAAATCTAATAATTTCATGATGGTAATGGAATATGCAAAAGAAGGTAGTTTAAGACAATATTTAAATAATATATTTAATTCAATAAAGTGGGTAGATAAGTTGAATATTTTACAAAAGATTGCACAAGGTCTCAATTCTATTCATAAAAAAGGATTAATTCATCATGATTTTCATTGTGGTAATATTTTAAAAGATGATGATTATACTATGATTACTGATTTAGGATTATGCCGACCAGCAAATGTAAAATCTTCTCAGAATGTATATGAAAAAAAAGTATATGGAGTATTACCTTATGTAGCACCTGAAGTTTTAAGAGGAGGAGAATATACTCAAGAAAGTGATATTTATGGATTTGGAATTATTGCCTATGAAGTCTGTATAGGGCTTCCTCCTTATCATGATATTGCTCATGATAAAATCTTAGTTATTAGCATTTGTCAAGGGCTTAGGCCAAAATCTAATTATAAAATTCCTCAACTAATTTTGGACATAATTAAACAATGTTGGGATGCAGATCCTTTAAAAAGACCTAACGCAGAAGAATTACATAAATTATTAGATAATTTATATGGTTATGAATTTGATAAGCAAATTGAGGAAGCAGATAAAATTAATGAGAAGTTAACTTCCTCTTCATTACCATATAATGGCATCACCCTTTCATATACTACGAATTCTCAAGCAGTTTATATAAGTAGGCTTTTAGACTTAAATCTTCCGGAACCAAAAAATGCTATTAATGATAATTCATTTGAAAAATATTCAGGTAATTAATTTCCTAGTTTATATTAGAAAAAGTATTTATGAAATACTTATTAATTTACAATTATTTTTTTAATTTCTAGAATCTATAGAAGCAATAGATTTTACTAAACTCACTTAGGTACTTATTTACATTAACTTGCTTTTTACATGGTTAATTTTACTAATAATATTAACAATTTACTTTAATTCATTCTTATAGATGAATACAATTAAAGAAAAAGAAAAGGAATAAAATTTATAAATATTCAGAATATAAATTTCTTTATTTATATCTATTATTTACTATTTATTTTCTTTATCATTATTACAGTATGTGTATTTTATTGGAATATATTTATTATTATTAAAATCTTATAAATAAAATTTTTTATAAATTAAGCCAAAAATAAATAGGATAAATTACTATACTGTATGTACTGTATAATATAAAATTATAACACAAAGTAACTAGATTAGGTTTATATGCGTTAACTTTGTTGCGCCAGACTGTTTACTAACTGAAGACTACTTTGCTAACAAGTAACAACTTAAAATTTTTAAAGTGTATAGTAAAATTAATATTACAGTACATTATATACAACCCATGTTAAAATACTCATTATTGGTCTTGTAGGGGCATTGTACAATAGTTAGTTAACATATATATTTACCATAAATTATTGTTAAATTTTATTGTAAAATTTATTGAAAATATTACTGTATAATTTACTGTAAAATTTATTTAAAAATATTAAACTATTCTAAAATACTAAATTATTTTAAAAATACTAAACGATTTGAAATCCAAGTTGAAAGAATATTGTCTACATCTCAATCTGCAAAAAATGAAAAAGAAAAATGTCAATAAAACATTTCTAATAAATGAATAAAATCATTCCCTTCTACCTTCAAATTGAAGTTTGTTATTCAAGAGTTGAATTCCTACAATATAACAAATTAATGTTTTTTCATTACTCATTCCCTTATTCAATATACCTTTAAGCTGATCCAAAAGTTTAAATCTTACAAAATAAAGAAATTAGTTAAGTTTCTATAAGAATTTACAAGAAGTCAAAGTGGAAGACCTACAAAATAAAATCCAAGCATTCAAGTCCAAAGAAATTGAAATTGAGTCCTACAAAAATTACAATCTAATTCAATTCATTAGTCGAATTGGTATATGGTTTCCACTATGGAAACCTTGGTGTACTTGATTGAAACTTGTCCAATTTCCATAACATTTCCATAACATTTCCACGAAAACTAGAAACTTCATTAAAATCTGGCGCATACCATGGAAATTGGACAAGTTTCCACCAAATTTTAATAGTATAAACTTCGCGTAAACCCTATCTCTTCAAACCTGTACAAGTAGCCGAAGTTAAGGAGACCTACAAAATAAAGTCCAAGTGGCTAAAGTCAAGGGCACTAAATGTTCAAGAGACCAAAAAAACATCTACAAAAGAAAGAAAGAACTATTAATAACAGTTCGTTAAAATGAATTAAAGAAAACAAAAAAACTTCCAAAATCCGCATACAAAAAGCAGCCATCTAAAAAAAACCAAAGAAAAACTATAGATTGTGAAAAAATGTCTCCAAGCGTCAAAGATCTAAACTGGTAGCTGGATTCAAGAAAAAAAAAATTAAACCCCATTTTTTTTTTAAATTTCAAAAAAGTTTTTTTCAAACTTTTATCTTACCCTTTGTCCCTCTCTCACTCTTTCCTCTTCTCCCTATTTTGTTTACTCTTTCATCTTTCTCATATTCATTTACTTTAAATTAATTAATTAGTTAAATAATATTTCAAACATAAAAGAAGAATAACAAACATATGGTATCGCCTAAAAAAAAAATATAAAAAAAATAAAAAATTTATGGAACATTATCATCTACACGTATTGTTCCATTTCAAACAGGCTGATTAGTAACGTTTAAATGAAAAAAAAAAAAAAAAAAAAAAAATTTCCGATCTCAAGGTATTTTCTTTTTTTCTTTATTTTTATTTCTAACTTACATTTTTACACTTTGTTTCTTACTAACTCTATTTCATATTTCGGTTTTCACTAATTTTATTTCATTTTTTTTAGGTTTTTTAGTTCTTTCGGTTCTACAATTAATAAAAATATGTTTTTTATTTTTTATTTATTTTGTTTCTATCTTGTATTTCGTTTCTTACTAACTTCATTTTTTTTTACTTATAGTTTTATTTTTTACTTGGTTTCCTAAATTATCTTTTACTACTCATGTTCATTTTTTTATTTTTTGTCTCTCATCATTTTCACCTCCTATTACTTCTCATTATTTCATCCTTTTCGTCTCCCATTATTTTCTATTACATCTTTTCATTTTCCATTATCTTTTCGTCTCCCATCACTCCTTTTCGTCTCCCATCGCTCCTCTCTTCCCATCACTTCTTTTCGTCTCCCATCACTCCTTTTCGTCTCCCATCATTCCTCTTCATCTTCCCATCATTTCTTTTCGTCTCTCATCATCATTCTTTTTCAACTTTCATCACTCCTTTTCGTCTTCCCATCACTTCTTTTCGTCTCTCATCACTCTTTTTCGTCTCCCATCACTCCTCTTTATCTTCCCATCATTTCTTTTCGTCTCTCATCACTCTTTTTCATCTTTGCCTGGTAAAACTCAAGAAATGACTGGTCACCTATTTCTTCTAGCACATGTTTTCTTTTGGCTTCAACTACCAAGATCAATAATTCTACCAGATAGCAATTGAAACCCAGTATGCCAGGAGTACAAATTTAATGCTTTGAAAAGTTATAACCTACCATAAGCCTATTTAGTACCATTTATCTCTCCTTTTTATCTTCCCATCATTTCTTTTCGGCTTTCATCACTCCTTTTCGTCTCCCATCACTCCTCTTTATCTTCCCATCATTTCTTTTCGTCTTTCATCACTCTTTTTCGTCTCTCATCACTCTTTTTCGTCTCCAATCACTCCTCTTCATCTTCCCATCACTTCTTTTCGTCTCCCATCACTCTTCTTCATCTTCTATTATTTTCCATTACTCCATTGTTATCTCATTTTTTTATTAGCATCTTTTTTCTTGATCATTGTAATTTATTTATTATTGTTATTGTTTCTTTTATTTGTATTACTTCATTAAAAATAAATACGGTGATTTTTTTCTTTAAAATCGTAAATGTGTGACGTAAATTTTAATATTTGCAAATAAAATTTCATTAGATAAGATTATTTTGAATAAATATGTTTGCAAAAAAATTTTAAGTTTAAATTAGCTAATTAAAAAAATCAGCCGTCAGCCGATTATATATTGTACATCATGTGACATATTTGAAAAAACCCCGGGCGACGTTTAACAGTTCCCATTAAAAAAATATTGGTTAGAAAATATTCAAAATGAAACTACTCATTTTAGCAACATTCTCCATTCCAAAGCTCCAAGATCAAACCTAAATATTGTAATGAAGACAAATGGCGGGTTGATTAGTAATGTTCAAAATGAAAAAAAATAAATAAAAATAAAAATAAAAAAAAATTATGGAACATTGTCACCTACCCATTTGTACTGTTTCGATCAGTATCCTCTATTCTAAAATTCCAGGACTGAACCTAAAAATAGTAATGTTTAAAAAAAATTAAAAAACAATTGGTTAGAAAATATTCAAAATAAAACTACTCTCATTATTTCAGTTTGATCATTCCGACTGAACCTAAAAATAAGAATGAAGGAGTTGATTAGTAATGTTCGAAATGAAAAAAAAAGTTAAAATTAGTCTTATACATAAGTATTAATAAAATTAAATAATTAACTTACTCCCTATTTTTTAAATAAATAAATATTGTTTCGCAAAAATAATTATTTTTTTCACACGAAAAGAAAAAAATTTTTAAACAATTATTCCGATATACTAATTAAGTAATGATATTACAATACATAGAAACAGGTTTTTTGTGAAAAGCCAATAGCACAATCGCTCATAGGCTTTTGTTTTATTTCAATTGTATATTTTTTTTTTTATGCGAAAAGTAATTTTTTTATTTTCGTGTGAAAAAAATAATTATTAGTATATTTTGTGAAACAATAATAAGTAAATCAATAAAAAAAAAAATTGTGAAATTTGATTTTTTGCGAAACAATATATATTTAATAATTGTTTAAAATTTTTTTTCTTTTCGTGTGAAAGAAATTAATTATTAGTATATTTGTATATATTTTTGCGAAACGAATATATATTTCGATATTTATTCGTTGGCTGTGTTTGTGCAACAGTATACTTTTTTATATAATGCCCATTTTTTTCGCAAATGATTTTTTCACCAACTATAATTTTCAACCAACTTGATGATTTTTTCACCAACTATAATTTTCAACCAACTTGATTTTTCACCAACTTAATTTTTTTCACCAACTATAATTTTTTCATCAACATTTACCGAACGTAACATACCTTTTTTTACCGTAACCAAACGTATAAAATACAAAGCAAATGTCAGATATCATAGATTTTACTTCCACTTCCGCTAAAAATGAATCATTTACCTTAACTACTAAACAATTCTCTAAAACCCCACCATTAACTCCGCAAAAACCCCATCATCACTACCAAAAAGGAAAACTTCTCAACAAACACGATCAACTCAAATGGAATCTATGATATGAGCAATAAGGTTTTGTGTTTTAATTTGACTGTCACTAATTTGGAAAGTTCCAATATGGCTGCAATATATCTGTATTGTTTATTAATGAATGTTGCTAATGATTCTATTAGTTAATCGCTGATATTAATAAAAAGATAGCAGAAAAGAAGAAGTTGAATGGACCTGAGCAGAAAGTTGTTAAAATTTCTTTACCTCAAATAGATCCTAAAGTCCGTTTTGACGTACTTGATTCCATTTACAACTTTTTTCAAGCTGATAGAATAGGAGAAGACTTATATATAAAAGTAATTTGTTTTCTAATTGTAATTCTATTAAGGTTGTAATTCTATCTTATTTATGTTATTTATTTTATTTCCCTCAGTTTGACAGTGGAGAAAAAGAGGATATATATGACGAATTGCGAAGTTCACTTAAAAAGCAACTTCCCGAATGGTGGTCTCAAGAAAAAGTAGCGTGTATTGCACATAGTAATGAATAGTGTAATGAATACTATCCTGACGTTGGTTCATGGCAACAAAAACCATCACATAAACAACGGAGGTTTCCGTTCATTTATAACTGTCCGCCACCTCAAATATGGATTGAGGTAAATATTAATTTAAAGTAATTGGTTTTGTTTCTTAGTAATACATATATTAAAAACAATATTATAGGTGGCGTACAACATAACTAATGATCGTGAGCAAGCGTTAGAAAAAATCCGGTCAAGCAAATGTTATTGTTGTAAAACTGAATTTATTATAATTGTCCTTCCTCATGGCAAGGAGCCTTATCATCAGAATCCAAGCCCTGGATCTGATTCAGAAGAGGTTGGTATACCATTAAATTCTCGTCCATCACTAGCCCCATACATTGGATATTGGCCATCAAATGAGACGTTTGATAGAGTTTCTTGGAATGATATAGTATGGAATCAACATCTATCAATTGGGATACGGTGTTCGTATATATTTCAACGATATTCTTAAATATTTAACAGAAGATGATGATGATTATGAGAATCCTAAACCATGCCCTTACTGTGGAGTAATCACGGAATTAGAATCACTTTGGGAAGGCGTGAATCTTAATCGCACTAATGAATGTCCAAATGGCAAAGATATTCGAGCTGCATTAATAATTGCAGAAATAATACCCAATCCCAAAGGAATGGTAAGACATATAAAAGAAAATTGCCAACATGACTTTTACTGAAACTTATTGATTTTGAAAAATACAGTAGAAACATTTTTAAAATATGATTGACATATCGTGCATGCATTTAATCTGTTGACTCCGTAGTAATTTGATATTAGTAATATACATTATATTATATTAAAATATGTTTAGAATATGAAAATATAAATAATAATGTAATAGAAATATTTACGTTAAATATTGAAATATGTTAAATATGTCAAAATATAATAAATTAATATAGTAAATATTATTGTTATCTTTTACATATGCCGCAAATATATTTGTCATCTATCAAAAATTTAAAATACCATAAGATTTTTTAATATTTATATTCCTTCATCATGCTCGGTATTACAAGTATCCTTATAATTGCATTATAAAGAATTCACATGGATTGTCAATCAACAAATGTAATTGGAAAAACTTGAAACCACCATAATTCTTCAGGTTTCTATATATTATAAAGTGGGCCAAAATGAACGATTTTAAACTTACTGATCCTATCTTCTCAGGATCCAGGAAGCTCAAAATAATTAAATATATGTAAATAAATTTTAAAAAGTTTCAAAGCAAAAATTTGCTTCAAAACTTACCAATTCATTCCCAAGACGCCAATATATAGCAAGGTATCGTCCTACAAAAAAAAAACATCGAAACCAAGTGGTGCCAACGTTGAGAAATCCAACTAAAGAAATCCAAGAAACCAATATCCAAAGCTCAATGCCAAAAGAACCGGATGGCTACAAAAAAAAGATAAAATTTTTTAATAAAAAAAAATTATTACAGATAAGTTTCGAATGGTGTATCCAAGTCCTAAACTGAAAGAACCGATTACAAAAAAACAGAGAGTTTCTTAAATTTAAAACCTTCCCCCTTTCCCCATTTCTTATCTTAAAGCCCAGTTTCATGTTCAAGCCAGCGCCCTACAAAAAAAAAATAATGAAAAGAAACGTTAAAATGTTCTTAAATTAAAAAAAAAAAAGATAAAAAAAATTCCAGCTCTTTCTCTCCTTAAAGTCCAGTTCGTTCTGGCTGGCAATTCCTATAAAAAAAAAAATAATTAAAGAAACGTTAGTAAAACGTTTCTAGAAAGTTAATTTTAAAAAAGCCCTTACCTTCCAAAGCCGAAATGAAGTCAAAGGAGCTTATCTATGTACTTGCAGACCGAAGCTGAAACAAATAAATGCCATTCATGAAAATTTTTTTTCAAAAAATATTCCAAATTATGGTGTAGTTAGACGAAAAATAATAGCACGGCTCAGGTGTAGATCGTCGTGGAATTCCATGATTAAACCGGGTTCGGATGATCGGCAATCAGAAATTCGTCTCCGTTTTTCGGCTAACTACACCATTATGTCGAAAGGATCCTAAAAAGTCTAAAAAAAGATTTAAATATTAACTTTTTTGATTATCTTTCGCCGATAAGCTGGTTTCTTGCAAAAAAAAAAACTAACTTTATTAGATTATATTAATAAAATTTAATATATAAATGGATTAATACTGTAATTGTATATAATTGAACTAACTTTATTAATGTATATTGCAATTGTGTCAGTACATAATAAAATCTTTGATCCCTATATTAGGAAATATTAACAATTGAGTGATGTAAGTCTTTTTTTTTTTAGAATCATACTCCTTGCTTTAGAGTATTAGATCTTTTTCATTTCATCACGAAAAAGCTGAAACCATGTGATTATATAATCATGCATTTTTTCGGAATTCTACACAATTCTAAATAAAATCATGTATTTTTGCTAAAATAAGTAAATGGAAGCAAATAAAAAAAAAAATTTTTTTTTTTTAAAAAAAAGATTTAAGGTTTATATATAACTACTGAACTATATAAACAGATGAAAAAATGTTAGATTTTCAGATAATGGTAATCATCTCTTCAACACGCAACAGTCAACACCAAGAAATCATAAGACAAGTAAAATATTTGAATTTGTTAAAGTTTTATTTGACAATTTTTTTTTTTTTTAATATAAAATATTCTTCATCTTCTCCAATAAATATTTAGTCACGAAGGAAAACGTTAGGAGAAACGTTCCTGTAAATCACATGAATTACAATCAATCTAATTGATTTTTTTTTTTCGTTTAATTTTATTATCGATTATGTATTTTTTATTTTATTTTTTTTATCATTTATTTTCGATTATGCATTTCTTTTTAAAAAAGTAGTTTATAGAAAAGGAATAAGATTTATTATTATTAAAAAACAACAAAGTTTTTTTTCTTATTGTAAACAGAAATATATAATTATATATATATATTTATTTAATAAAGAACTAGCAGTCACCCGTTGCTTCGCACCGGGACCAATGAATTTGTGCTATTTATATTAATGATTTGACGCTTGAGTGTAGAATGAAATTAAGGAATTGTGAAAAAATAATTATCAATAAAAAATTGATTAATTTTTTTTAGAAGTATTTTCGAAAAAACTGCAAATACTACAAATATTTTTATTAATTAATTATATTAATATTTTATCCCTTAAACGGTAAAACATTGCAGGCAAATTTGCCTGCAATTTTACCGAAAATTCAGTTCTCATCTAATTTTATGAAAAATGAAGTTATTCTAATAAAACTTTTTTCCGCAAAGAGCTTAAATCATAATTTATGTGACAATAATCATTATTTATTAATTACATATTATAAGATTGAAGATTGTCCATTGGTCAAAAGTTGTATTTTTTAAATGACAAAAAATTTCGAAAAATTTTGCATTTAACTTTGACGATCTCATTGGGATTTGATTGCAGCTATATTAAAGCTTAATAGAATATGTAGAATATTCTATGATGAACAACCTTTGTTATGATGATTTTTAATATTTAGAAGTGGCATTTTGACTTTACATAGAACCCTAAAAAAAGAATTATTTTTGTGAACTTGTAAAAAATGCATAGAGTTAAATTTTATCATCTCTATTTTGTTCATTATAGTGTGAAGTTTCATAATAAAAATAAAAAAATATATTAAAATGCTTTGTAATGAAGCAGAATATTATGGTAAAGAAAATTAATTTATTATATAAAAATTCCGATGTTATTTTTTTGAGACTAATTTCGGTGATTAGCGGTCATGTAGATCAATATAGCTGCGGAATTATAGGATAATCCAAATCATATTGACAAACTTTATATTTGGATATAAATTTATTTTGAAAAATTGCAGGCAAATTTGCCGGCAAAACCGTTTAAGGGATAATTATTTCTTATTACGTCAATATTAAACTTATAACCAACTTGGGAAAAATATTTGAACAATTAAATGTATTGAAATTTGTTCATTTCATTTATTATTATTCTTTTGATACTCATTTTACTCGGATAAATATTAATTTAACTAAACTATTTGAATTAAAATCTTTATTCAAAAATCTGGTGATTATTTAGAGAATTTCGGATATGGATTTGGTTATAATAGTCTATTATTAAATCAACAATTTCAAATCTTGATCATCTTTCTATTAACGTCGGTCAATTTTCCTACATGTTATATTGATTTTTTTTTAAAAAAAATAATAATTTGTAAATATATTTAATATAATATTTTATTTCTTTATTTAATAATAATAAAAATGAAAGAAAAAGAAAAAAAAATTAAAAAAAAAATTTGGGGAAAAGAATGAGAAAAAACAAATTTGGAGAAAAAATTTTTTTTCGGGTTGAAAAAAAAAAACGAAAAATATAAAATTAATAAATTCTGATTAGGTAAAATTCCATGTATTAGTTGATTGGAATGTACACGGATCGATGGATTTCAAGTTACACAATTCAAATTATGACTAATCCAGACGTCAGATAGTTATATAGTTTTTTTAGTTATATAAATTTATCAAAAAATTTATTATAGATTTAATTACAAAATTACTAATATTGTTATGTATCTATATAATTAAAAACAATCTCACTAAAAAAAATTCTCACTAAAAAAAAAATTTTTATGCGAATTTATTAATCAGAAACAATATCATTGACTAAAAAAAAATCTCACCAACATAGTTCTAATTTGATTATAGTCTTGACCCAAACCAAAAAAAGAATAAACTGGGTTAAAAAAAATTCAAAAAATTTTAATAAATTCTAGTTAAAAAAAAAATCTCCTATAAAAATCCAATAAAAATAAAACAAAAAAAAAAATGACTGAAAAATAAAAAAAAAATCATTATTATAGAAATGGGTTAGTCGTGGTAACTAAAAGAGCGGAAATGACTGCAATTAATAAGAAAAATTATACATCAGGATAAAAAAAATCTAGTTAAAATTTTAATTAACCGGAAATGTATTGGTTTAAAGATTGGTTATTGTAGTCAGTTTGATTAAATACGAAATAGATCGAACGCAATAATATCACACTTTTCAATGTTACACAATTCAAATTATTTATACAGGTAATCTAAATATGAGAATTTTTTTTTTAATTAGATAGATTCCCAAATTTTCTACAAACGTGTAATACAAAATATATGTATCTTTTCTGAATTTCCAAACCCTATAATTCGAATTTATATAGATGGAAATCTTATTGGGTATACTTTATATCAATATTGGGATGAAAAAAGAGAACCTGCGTTGGAACCAAAGTTTTGTGATGTTTTACAATGGACTACGAGAATAGTGGAAGATGATGGCGAAATAGATTTTGATTTTCCCGGTATTTATGTTATTGTTATGTCCTTATTTAAATAGTGTTGAGTAAATTTTAATTAGATTATATTTCTATTATAGCAGTTGATCCTTATCCTCTACGGCTCTACAATTCGAATTCCTGGCGATCGAAGAATCATCCATCGTCATGATAATTAGCGAGTTGGGAGTGATAAGTGTAGATTTTGGAATCGATTAAGGTTAATCGATTAAGATATCTCAAAAATCGGTTAATCGATTAAAACCATAACTCCGGTCAAACCATCTAATGCGGCCTCACGTGCTCACGAATTTGGACGAATTTGTATTAATTTTTTATTAATAATAATAATAAATAAGACTTTCCTATAACTAAATGTATGAGCAAAAACTATTTGGTGCAATCTGTGGCCAAAAAAAAAAAAAAAAAAAATTTTCGAAAGTAACGTGACTGGCATAATATTTAATTTAATTGGTTGGAAATTTAATTATATGATCAGTACTCATATTTCTTTCTTTCTTTT